TGAAAGTTAAACCATTGTTTAGTTGTCCAATTAAAGGTTCTGGTAACAAAGCCTGAAGCAGAAAAAAAAAATCACAAATTATGAAACTGAGTCTAGATATCTGTTTACAGGCATCAAAATGAAATAACCATATTAAGAATGTTGTAAAGAAAAAGATGTTCTTTCTATTGGTTAAACTAATATAACTAAAATATCAGATAGAATTACTGATATTTTTTGAAAAACATTATGTAGACTTGACATTTTTATTATATCTCAGTAAAGCAAGAAGACTGAAGTTTCTAAATTTATATTCTGGCATGTCAGTATCTATAATATGTATTTCTGATTAGTTCGACACTCATAAAGTTATACAAGAGTAAAAATAAAATCTAAAATTAGCAATTTTGAGCACAGATGCTTTACCTAACAGAGTAGTGAAGAATGACAATTTATTTAATATTTCTTTTTGAAATTAAGACATTGATAAATTAATAAATTGAAATGTACACAAAAATATTATATCCAAAATTAAGTAACAAATGTGCAGAACTAAGAAGGAAAATGTTATCAATATCAAAGCTGCTTGTGGTTTATTAAGAAATGAGTACTTAATATTCTGTGTAAAGCCTCATTTTTTGCAAAAAGATTTATAGTCATTTATAGAATTACTATTGTCCAGCTCTTGAATAATCTGGGATTTATATGTACATATATATCAATATTACAAAGTACTACATACAAGTATCGTATTTAAATTTTGAAAATATTTTTTAAAATAACCTTTTTCTGCACCTTTGATGCTTCAAATGTCTATAATTACTCATCTTCCAGCTTTATCTTTTCCACATTTTAAAACACAAACGTCTTTGTAAATAAGATTATTTTTCATTTCTTGTTTTTATGAAAATATCCCTTTTTTGGGTTTTGTGTCAAGTTCTTCTTCACTTAAAAGCTCAAACTGTCATTTACTGCAGTTAGAAGAGGTAGATGACACTAAATAAGTATTTTTTGTTTCATAACATTTTCTTATTGGAAATGGTCAATTTTATGTTATCTTACATAATCTTTTATACTTCTAAATTTTGTTCAGTACTGTAGGCATAAATTTGTTCTTTGAAAATATGTTAAGTAATATTTACATTTCAAAGAATTTTGTACCTTTGTTGTACAGCTTTAATCTTTGTTGTACTGACGTGATAGCACCAAGGACTGACAACCGGTTGACTCGACTTTTAATATTAGATGCTGTTCCAAATTCATCAGCCAACATTTTCGAAACTCTTGATATTTGATCCTTTGGTGGGATAATAAGTGAAATCATGCTTGTGCCATTTCTGAAAGATAAGAAAGTAAAACTTACAATTAAATAACATGGATTTTTACATTTATTGCTAAATTGTTTTAATCCTTCTTTCCTATTCTTATATCAAATTGGGCTTATATGCATGTAATAAAACAGATGTATTTAACGTGTTTTTAATAACCTTGCAAAAATAAAAATCAGGTTCAAACACACACAATGTTAAAATCTACATTTTGCAAGGAAGATTAAGTATGACATGAGAAGACACAGCTCTTAATAACTAACACTATAACAAATTCAAATGAGCTGAATGGGAAACTTGTTTTAAAAACTTACCCTCTAGCTGCCTCGAGAGATTTAATTAGCTTCTTTACCTTCCAAACTTCTACATTTCTATCTGCACTTGAATCTTCCATGTTGACTACCATATAAAAAAATGATTCATCTCAGAGTAAAAGATAAGAATATTGTAATTCTTTTTATGTATTACTTCCTTTAAGATTAAAAGATAAATTGAAAGATTTATTAAGAAATACAGACTTTGTAATTTAATGGAGTCTCAGGGTGCCTATAAATGAATGTATACAAGTTAAAACATAGAAGCTTTTAAATGAATACAAAAACAAAAAGTATATACTGTATATATATGTGTTGGTCAAAATATGTTTTAATTGTTTTAAACCTTACCAGCTTTGGCCCAAAGCAAAATTCAAAATATTGTCAATAGACATTTTCAAATTTGTGACAGATTAGTAAAACTCAATACCCTTTCTGTGATACAAAAAATTCAAGTTGTTCTTATGCAATGCCCATTCCAACAAGTTATCATGCATGCTATTATTAAGGAATACAATTAAAAAGTTCAAGGGCAAGAGATCAGTTGTGCCCAAAAAGGAATACTGGATGATACATACATGAAGAAATCATCACCTTGGTAACTGAGACTTTTAAATAGCCTAGGAAAGTCTGAGAAGGTCTTCAGTTATCTTCACATAGCCAGGTGACTGTTTGTAAGAATTCAAAAACATATCCGAACTTCCACGTATGCAAATTCAGATGAACAATAGCTGCTCAAAGAGGACTACTAAAGTATAGTCTTGATAAGAACAATATTTTTGGACTTTATGGATTATTACAATATGTTTCTCAACTGTTTCTAATCACGTCTGATAAAGCAATATTCCATTTGTGTGCATAACTGTCAAGTTTGAGGAAATGAAAACCCATACAATACTCAGGTCTCAAGAGTGCTTGAAAATTTGTCTAAAAGTTAACATTTCCCTTAGTTGGAAATGTATTTTAGATTAATACCTACCTCTCTGCACCACTAAGAGTTGTTACTTCACATACAACTACTGTGAAATTTCCTGTACATACCACAGCCTTGAACAAGGTCTTACTCCTACACGTCTACATGTATTGCACAAACCTATGATGTAAACGTCATAACAATGTAGCCTTCTACCAATAGAAGAACGAAAACTTTGTGTACAGTGATCCCCATGAGCACTAGCATATGATCATAGGCTCATTTTTGATGAAGCAAAAAAAAAACAATGTAAGTGTGGAGAAAGGGTATAAAGGTTGTCCTATTCACTAAATTAACACTAAAAAACTCAAAGCATAATTCATATATTTATCAAGCTTTCACTCAAACCCCTTAAATTAGCTACATCTACCATATCTGAAGGCAACCCGTTCCAAAAGTCAACCACCCTGTTAGAAAAATAAAGCTGTCTCAGCTGAAAATGACTCCTATTCTGCCATTCTTACCATTAAATACAAAAAAGATTATGTATAAACACTATCAATTCCCTTAAAAATCTTAAACATCTCAATGAGATCCCTTTTAACTATACTTTTTTTTCAAAAGGAAACAATTTCAGAGATCTTAAATTGTTCTCAAATGACAACTTCCATTCCAGATGTCATCCTAGTAGCCTTCTGGATCCTTTCCAACAATTCAATGTCCATTCTAAAGTGAGAAGCCCAGGACTGAACACAGTACTCCAAATCTAGCCTAACCAATGATTTATGTAATGAAATTATAACCTCCTTAGATTTGTATTCAATATTTCTGTAGATACAACCTAAAATACCATTACCAACAGCACATTGCTTGGATGGCTTAAGTGACTGATTTCTTCCATAACACTGTTAAGATTATTCCCATCAAACTAATACTCATAATTCAAATTGTGATATCCCATTGCATTACCTTGCATTTATTATAATTAAAAATCCAACTCATCAAATAATCCAATTCATTTTGTAAAGCAGTAGCATCCTCCTTACAGTCAGCAACACCCAAAACTAATGTCATCAGCAAATTTATATAATCTACTGACCATTCCTTCACGTATGTCATTGATGTAAATTACAAAGAGCAATGGTCCTAACATTGAGCTCTGAGGTACCCCACTCGTGACATTATTTCTACTTTATTCCATCTAGCCAGTTTTCTATCCAATGAGCCAACCTATACCACACACCTATATAAATAATTTTTTTAAAAAGCCTTGTATGTGGCGCCTTGTCAAAAGCTTTCTGAAAATCCACACCCATACCTTCACCTACATAAGAACGTCAAATTATTAATAAAGTAAAATTTTCCCCTACTGAAACCATGCTGATTATCCAACAAAATTTTACATTTTGTTAAAACTTTGCATAGCATCTTTAATCAGACTTTTGAAAGCTTCTCTCACCACTGATGTAAAACTAATAGACCTATAATTACTAGAACAACTTTTATCACCTCCCCTGAAAAGAGGAATAACATTGGCCAACTTTCATTCTGCTGGCACCTGCCCACTATTCAAGGACTAACAAAAAATAGTAGAAAATGACTCGCATATCCAATCCTTTACTTCTTTCAAAATCCTTAGGTAAATATTATCTGGCCCAGGAGCTTTATCATTCTTTAAACTTCTCATTTTTTTCTTGACAAGCTCAGAGTTAATGTGATCATCTTGTTCAAACTTGTTTGTATCTAGCAACTGTTTAGAAAGAGGAATATTCATTAGTAAAAATTGAAGAAAAAACAGAATTTAATAACCCAGCCATTACATAATCATCAGATAATAACCTTCTTGTATCATCCCTCAAATTTTGCTTACCCTTAATATATTTGAAGAAATCCTTATTATTCATTTTTACATTTTCAGCCAACCTTTTTCATAGTTTTTGGTTTTCTAATTTCCCACTTGACTAACTCTATTGATCTTCTATAATCCTTCAATTCTACCATCATTGCAGTCAAATTAAACTTCTTATAGTTATAATGCTTTTCAGTTTTCTTTAAATTGTATCCTTTGTGAGCCAACCTGTTCTTTTTTGTTTTACTTGTAGTCACTCATCTTATTATGCCTATCTTGCATTTATTTTTTAACATATTTGAGCTCTGAAAAAAGAAATAATTGTAGTTGTAGGTTATATGATAAACATGACAAGCCAGTAATATCATGTTATCACTGAAAAAAATTAAAAGAGAAAAAATAGTATAAAAAATTATACACAAATTTTGGTCCCCCTGATTACTATTATTTTACTATCATATTATGATCTGTTCTTAGTACTTTGGGAAAACAACATTTTTATGCTTACAAATAATAGAAGAATTATATTTCATAGGCCTGCATAAGATCATGAAGACATGGTTTAATGAATTCCACCTTTACTTTTAGGAACATAAAACTTAAATTTTTAAAACTAAGCTTACTTTCCATGAATGTATCCAACTCTATTGCTGTTATAAATATAACTCACTTCCACCTTCTTTTGCATATGAATAATAATATTATAAATCAGTTTCTAAGTATTACTACTATACTACTACTTGGTACTAATGTTATAATAGTAATAGTTTATTAATACTTACTCTAGTGCTCTACTCCTTGTTCTCCAGTCTCACAAGAACAAACTGATGGTACTACTACTTTTAAGTTACTGGTAGTACAGATGGTTCACATTCTGTAATCTTAGTACTATTAGTATTACTATTACTTTGAGCCTAACAACAGCAAGTTGAGTAACACTAAATATGTTTTGACGGAGTCCTCGAAAACTAAAGCCAAGTTCTATTGGAGTCACTTACTATCAATTATAACTTATCAGTGAAAGTATACTTTTTCATAACTTTTTAAATTAGGAATAAGATATCATAAATTCTTTATAAAGGCATATATGTTTTATTTATACTACACATAACTTAAAATCGCTTTTGCTTCATCCTTTACGAGAACTTCTACACTTTTCGAAAATATGAAAATATTATACAGCTCGCCTCCTACATACGTCTGTTACGAAAGTAATGTGAAATCTCATTTGACGTCAAGACCAGATGTAAGACCAGTCAACAATGATCGAGTTTACAGCAACCCTTGTGTAATGACACTCTATGTCAGCAAACGAATTATATTTAATTCGTCTTTTTTATTACGTTTGTAGTTTCAACACATTAATATATCCACTCACAGGTAGAACGTTATTTTATATTTTTTTACTTACTATAGGAATTCTGCGTCCTTCTGTTTTCCAGATGGCGCTTTTTCATTTATTCATAATACAGCAACCGAAAAGGAGATGATGATAAAACTTTAAAGTTTAACTCTCGGTAATAGTAATGTAAATATATATTATATATATATATATACATACGTGATCAATCATTATGTGTCTTTAAGTTTAATAGTATAAGTTATAACGCATGGTATGAAGTTGGTAATTGAAATTTAAGTTAAACTTAAACTTAAAGTCGTTTTTTGGGTTTAATGTTAACAATAACTCGAAATTTGAATAAGTTGAATAACGAGTAACTTGAGAAGGTACAACACTAACATAATAATATTACTAGTAGTAGTAGTAGTAGTTAATTATTGTTAAAAGGAAAACATATCAAACTAGTGAAATATTTTAATCTGAACTGTATTTTGTAGCAAAGCAAGTGATGAACAGAAAAAAATTTTTGTTGTGATAATTCTTATAATTTATATGAGAATGTAGCAATAATATATTAACTTGAATAATTAGCACTAACTAATTTCATGTTGATGGAAAATGAAAAATTGAATGGGTGGTAAAAGTATTAACATAAAACAGTACAAGATATGTTAAGTATTTTGAATTAAGACATTATACTAAGTACATATCATGCTGGCATGAGATGTTCAATTTTCAAATAAAATTTGGTAAAAATCTTACTTGAATTTTACAATATTTTGTTTAATATTCTTAGTTTTTGTTTATGTAAGTTGATGATATATATATACATATGTACTAATAATAATATAGGACCTAGACCACTATTGTCTTTCATACCCCAGCTGGCCTGATAAGCCTTGGTATTTGGTAAAAAGCCTAGTCAACACTAGACGTGGCAAATGCGGTGTTGTTGACATATTATAAAAAATTATCCTTTGCTTTCAGTCATAGGTTTTTAGAATTGTAATGTGTTTCAACATAATCACAGATAATTTCATTTAACATCTTCAAAAGTTCATGAATTAGAATGATATAATGAACATTGAAATAAAGCTGGGAATTAGGGTGATTAAATTATAATCTTAATGGGGATACCATGACAGTTTTGCATAATTTAGCTTGTACTTATATTATGATTTTCTAGAGTAAAGAAGCAATTAACCATAAAATAATTTATTTATATTTATAATCCACAGATAAAAAGAAGAATGGTTTCCTTATAAATTCTATTTTATATTTTTAAAATATAGCACAGCATTAGATTTCAATTCCAGTTCAAACCAAAATGTTTTGTACTGCTCACCAGTAATTAACTTCACATGGACAAGATGGATGAGAATATTACTGGCTGTATATGTTTGATCTGTGGTATACCTGGAGCAGGAAAGAGCTGGTTCATTAAAAATTTAAACAGCTTAATAAATGAACAAGAACTCTGGAGAGAAAAAGATCATGTAATGATCAATATATGTAAAACAAAACAAGAGATAGTATCACAAGACGAAAAAAGAATTATCCAAAAGGCTAACATTTTCAAGCATGTCTACAACATTATTTATGATCAGTTTGTTTCATCAGACACGCAACAACAACTGGTAAGTCTACACTTATGTTGATTTTTACATAGGATAAATAGGACTTGTCTTTGTGTGTGTGTGTGGCTCATTCAATACATTTTTGAAAACTATCATAACTACATTTATTTAAATAAATTGACTCCCACAACAACCAAAAATTATTAACATTTTAAATCAAATTGTAAAATTGATGCATAACTTTTATTTTTAAAATCTTAGCTATTTAATTTCAGGATAATACTTATTACATAGTCAATAAAAAGATTGAGATTCAAAGACACAAACTAATATTTTCAAATCATTTTCTGAAGACAATTAAACTAGAAAAAAATAAGCATTGAATATCATGTATTATAGTTAACCTCTGAATGTATGTTCTATGTTTAGAAACATATACATTATTGTAATGATTTATTGCAAAATTATTAATCCTGTAAGCAGCTTTTATAATGTATCTGATTTAAAAATTATTTCTTTGATTTGTTTTAGTGTATTTCATGGTGCATACACATCCTTTAAAGTACTTGAAATTGAGAACAGAATTTCAAAGGCTTGAAAGTGCCTGAAAAGGGGCCTTATTTGGCAAAAGTACTTGAAAATATTATAATAGCAAAACATATTGGTATATTTAACTTTAATGCATGTTGTGGAGTTGAGCGAAATAAAGTCTTTCTTTTTTGTCTATATTCATATGTTGAACAAATAAATAGGAATTTTATAAAATTTCAGTGAAATGTGATTGCTTTTGATATAGATTTTAGCTTCCAAAAAGTGCTTGAAAAACATTCTGAGAGTGCTTTTAAAGTCCTTGAAATCGATCTGAGCAATTCAGTATGAACCATGGTATTTACATTTAATATGTATTTACAGATTCTTGAGCCAGGAGCTTGGAGAGGGAGTAGAAAAAGCCTAATTGATAATGTTGAAGCACTTCTAAATGATGTTGGCTTTAGGCCTGAAAACAGAAAGGAAGATGTAGCAGTAAAGAGAGATTGTTCAAGTGAAAATATAGTATTACAGAAAACTTTAAGTGAAAGCAATTTAAAGCCAAGCTGTTCTGGTCACTGTGTGTTGTTTCTTGTAGAAGATAACATGTATTACCATAGCATGAGATACCAGTGGTTTCAACTAGCAAAGAAATGTGAGTATAAACAAAATGTCTTGGTGACAATTTATCAACTAGTTGTTTAATTCATTATTATAAGTGATTACAAATAAAATGCACCAGTTTAATTATTTTAGAAATACATCATGAGCCTTAGGATTGTACTGTTATAGTTTATTTCCTCATCTCATTCTATCCCACTTCTGGTTTATGAATAACATGTAGATTGTTTACATATATGTTGATATATTAAGGTTACTTGGAGGGAAGAGATCTGCATGAATATCCTATAGCAATATTGCACTGCACTGATAAGTATGTAAAAAATTAAACTCACTATTCTGCACACCTGCTTTATACTTTTGTCACATTTCCTTAGTGCATCTATATAGAAATATTTTGCTTTACAAGAAGAACTATGTCAATGACAAAAGTTCTCAAAGCAACACCAACTTTCAGTGGTATTGCCTGTGTTGTAGTGATTTGTTTTCTTATCAGTTAATACAGCGAATTAATAAAAAGAGTGTAAACCACTATTTCAAAAAAGTACATCCTACTTTAGAATAAATTTTTAATAAGTTCTCATAAAAGCAAGATAGCTGTGTAGATAATATAATAATAATAATAATATGTAATGCATCTCATTTATATATATAATAGCCAAATATCTGTCTGTCATGCACTGTATCTCTAGAACGGTTAATCATAGAAAAAGAAATCATGCATCAAAATCCTTCTTTTCAAGAGTACATTACAAGAAAATTATGCATTTATTGAAATTTCATTTCAATAATCAACATCAATTCATCAGTCTTCATAGGAACTGAACAGTCAATATGAGAAGAACTTAAGAACAAAATTTGTCTTTTTGTGAGGGAATTTCACGAAAAAAAAGGTACTTCCTCCATTGACTGATTGAAAGACATATTTCGAAGGAACACTAAACTAAAAAAATGCACAAGTAGAGGAACATGTTTGAATATATATTTCTTGTTGTTCAGTTTATATGTATATAATTTTTTTTTTTTTGTCTATCTGTATTATATACATGCAAGATTTTTGTATGATGTCAAATAAATTGATTTGAATTGGATATCTCCCCTTTGACACTTCTTATAGAGATGACAGTAGTTAAAAAGTGCTCACTTTGGTAGCAGTCTTTTCTTGCACACAGTAAAATGACCAGGAACTGTGGCATCCAGCTGAAAAAAATCCCTGTGGCTACTTAGGAAACCTGGGCATTCTGTTGTGCTGGTTACACCCATTGCATTGAAACCCAAACATTTTTGCCAACAATGCATTGCAGTCAGTCTCATTTGCTTAAAAACAAAGATAGTGCAATTTTCCTTATTGAAATAACATGGAATGTCAAAATATGGTTTTAAACGGCCCACTAGACAGTCATATTGCATTTATGCTATTGTTACATCTCCGTTTGTTAATTAACTTTCCGTAACTTCGTTCCGACGAAACTTTAGCGACACAAGTCC